TATTTTTAACGTCAAAAAACGACATTCTTACGTCATTATTTTTGCACCAACCTAATAAATATTGCTATGTCTTTTCTTTCTATGTGCCGTGTCCTTCCAGGACGTGGGCGATCATGGCTCTCCACCTCCCTCTATCCCTTGCAGCTCTGAACAAGTTCCTTCTTCTGTCATCTCCCTGAGACCACATTCTGTCATCCACTTGCTTAAGCCCGCTAGGTATGTCATACGTTGTTTTCCTTTATCTTTCTTTCCCCTTTATTCGACCCGTGAGTATCAGATTCTCCAGACCTTCCTTCCTCATTATGTGTCCCGGAAACTTCAGCTGCCTCTTCCTGATATTAAATATAAGCCTCCTCCTTGTTTGCAACCTCTTTAAGATCTCATCGTTGCTCACACGCTTGGTCCATGATATCCTCAGCATCCTTCTGTAGAACCACATCTCCGTCGCTTAATCCATAAACCTAAACTCCCTGCTATGTCCCGTAATTTTCTCAAATTCCTTTTCCTCTATATAACATATCTAAAGCTCTAAAAAACTGATACAGCCATACCTGTCAAATAAATATAGCGCTGGTTATATCAACAACACCCATTGACATATTACATTATAATAAATATAACAATGGCGTTCAAGCCGCGTCAAACGCCAAAAGTCTGTTTCTGAAAGCTCCTGTTAAAGAAACCATACAAAAACCAATACAAAATTTAAGCTCAAACTTCCTAATATTGCATAAAATATCTTGCGCCATATAAGTGCACTTTTATGATAATTATAATTTTCACACAGACTGATGGTGTAGCTATGGGTTCGCCTCTGGGCCCCACTTTATCTAATTCCTACTTTACCCACCTTGAAAACAGGTTCTTTAATAATTTCAACAAATCCTCAATCCATATATGTCAGATATGACGGCGTTTTCGTATGAACAGAAAAGATAGACGAATTAAAAACAAGCTTTATAGAAACCTTTAAAAGTAACTTTCATCTACAATTCATTTACGAACTCAACATTAAAAACAGAATCCCTCTTCATGACGTCCTCGAATATGCTAATTAGGATAAGTTCTACATCCTGCAGCAAAGCTTCTGATCGAGAGATTGGAGGTTTAGAGGAGTGTCGAACCACTTGTTAATTGTTGTACTTCCCAGGTGCATCCTAAACCGGAGTGGTAGCACCTGTTAGGGTCCTAGCTATGATCGGGAGATTAGAGATTTGTAATTCATCGTCTATTACACCATGTCGAGGTGTCTTAGCTGTTAGGAAATAAAGCATGTAGATCTAGGAAAGAAGCATCTTTTTTCAAAAGTCTTTGACTGGCACCACAGGAGGAAACTATCCATTATTGTTTAAAACTGGCTTCGAGCGAACGAAGCTGGCGCGTTTTAGTTAGATTCAAATAGTGAACCCCTAAAAAAAAATATGAAAGTATAAAAATACTTTCTTATAATAAAATACCAGCAATATATTTTTATATAAAAGAACTACCAACAATACATATCAAGTGGCCCAAGAAAAGATTTTAGCCAGAAATAAACGGCATCTAGTTTCAAAATTTAATTACGTAATCCCTACACAAAATAAATAAACAGTATTTAGAACTAGTATAAAGTAGGTCCTCCATTTTCTAGTTTCAGTGCTTGTATTCGATTTTCATGTATTTCATCAAGTTATTAACAATTGTCTGATCCATATTTTGTCACTCCTTTAGCAATGTTTCTTTAAGGGTTGCCACTGACGTGATTGTGGTTGCATGCTCTTGAAGTCTTCGGTCAAAAACTTACTCCCAAACTTGCTCTATTGGATTCATATCAGGACTTTGGGTTTCCCATGGCAGTGACTTGATTCCTTGCGATTCCTTCCTCCTTTGCCCGTATGACATGGCGCTCCATCTTGAAAAAACTAGACATTCTTGTCAATCTGGTTGGTTTCAAATAATGGCAGTCCTTTCTCTAATATTTGAGAATATTTTGAACCATTCAACAAGAATCAGCTCAGATTTCCCTCCAAACCAGACAGCGCCCCACACCATTACTACAATCCCGCCATGTTTCACGATCGCCTGCAGACATTCAGTGTTCCAAGTCTCATTCTGATTTCTCCAAACATAAGCCTGTCTCGAATTCGAATATTGGCAGAATCTACTTTCATCTGACCAAATTACAGACTGCCAAAATTCATAATCTTAGCACTCGAATTCTTTTGCCTAATCCATACGCCTGTCTCTGTTAACCTCTGAATTCAAGGACATCTTTCTTGTAACTCTTCTTTGATAGCCAGAGTCTTTTAGAGTATTTCTCACCGCATATGGCGACATTTCCATGCTGTTGGCGACATCTTTGACGCTCTGACGACAAATTCATCGCCCTTTTCGTTTTCTCAGACACGATGCTTGGTCTTCCTGAACCTTGTTCCACACGACAATGGCCTCCTTCATTAAATTTCTTGAAAATATTGTTAACCTTTTGATGATTAACCTGGAAAACCCTAGCAATTTCTCTATTTGACTTGCCACACTGATGCCATTCTATTATTTGCCCTCTTTGAAATCCACCAATTTCCTTATTTCCACAAAATTTCATTGCAAAATATAAGTCAACTATCGTTCATAGATGAGAGTAACTTGAATCTAACATGATATTATCTGAAAAAAGAAGAGACGTTATTACATAAGCCAACATTGCTGTAATTAAGGGTTGCTAAAAACTTATCATAGCCCACTGTAGCAAAATTACCAACAATAACTATTTATAGTAAAACTACCAACAATAACTATTTATGGTAAAATGACCAACAATACCTATTTATAGCAAAGTGACCAATAATGTACTTCATTTGATACTCACAAAACAGATTGAAGCCAAGAGGACAGAGGAAAACAAAGCATAACCTACCTAGCAAGCTTGCATAACAAGCGCTACAAAGGACAGGATATTGTGGAGGGCCATGATCGCCAACGTACTGAAAGAACACGGCACAATGAAGTTGAAAAATTGGATTCGAGTCATGGTTTTACGAGTCAGTTCAAGACATTTATATAAATATTAAGAATATCCAAGATGTCATCTGTATGCAACCGCTTTCTGAAATCTTTGATTAAAAATGGCCATGAGGGAATAGCGATTTTCTAAGCGTAGCTTACATGTTGTACAAGACAGAACGTATGGAGAACGCAGTGAGGATCGAACTCACTTCTCAGGCGTACTTATTTTAACGAGACAAGCTGACTATTACACCATGTCGAGGTGCCTTAGATGTTAGGGAATAAAGTATGTAGATCTAGGAATGAAGTATCCTTTTTCGAATGTCTTTGACTGACGTCACATGAGGAGACTATCCATCATTCTTTAAAAATGGTTTCGACCGAAGGGAACCAATAGATTTTAGTTAGCTCTATCCTACTTGGGAATTTGTGGACTGGCGAATAGACCCCCAATCCGATAACTGTATCAAATAAAAGAAACAACATCACTTGAGGATTTTCAACAGCAATAACAACTTAAATAGATTGTGCCTGTTACTCGAAGAGAAAATAATGACATAATTAACATATTTATATTCCACCCAAAATGCTACATCCGGCAACAAGGACTCTGATTGGAAGATTGGAGATTTTGAGGAACTTGGAACAATCTCTTGATTTCTATTGTCCCAGGTTCACCCTGACCCGGGATGTTAACATCTGTTAAGGTCCCAGCTATGGGGAAATAGTGAACCCCCAAATCTACAGTATATTTTTATAGTAAAATTACCATCAATATATATTTTTTATAAAAAGATTTCCAACAATATATTTTTGTAACGAAATTACGAGCAATAATTTTTTCTTGTAAAATTACCAACATTGTTATATCATTTTTTTATTTTACAGTATAATTATGAACAATATATTTTATATTAAAATTACCAACAATACATTTTTATAACAAAAGGACCAAGAATACATTTTTACAGCAAAATGATAATCAATGCATTTTATAGTCCTGTCTATGTGATAAACAACATCCATCAACAAGGCCTCTGATCAGAAGGTATTGAGGCGTGTAGAACCACCTCTTAATTGCTCTTGTTTTCAGGTTCACCCTAACCCAAGGTGGTACCACCTGTTAGGGTCCCAGCTATGGATAAATACAAATAGTGAACGCTCCTCTAAACAAAAATCTACAGTACATTTTTATAGTAAAATTACTATCAATATATTTTTTATAAAAAAGTACCAACAATACATTTTTTGTAGTGAAATTACAAGCAATATATATAATGATCTACAAACTATATATCCAAAATAACGTACTTTTTACCCTCAAGGTATAAAATTATGTACAAAATATTTACATTTCGGCATTAAATAACCCACAGACATTAATATACTGTTTAACAAAATCAACCAACTACCAAATTAATAAGAAAAGCGAATATCTTCACAGGTATAAAATATTGGTAACCATAATCTTAACAATATAAGATATGCAGATGACACTGTTAATAGAAAGTAACCGATCTAACAAACTTGTATGAATGGATGGAAGAACAGAGGGTGGTAGAGATAATAAGGGGGCACACATTGTTTAGAGCTATAAAGGATAGTGTTATGGGAACTTACCCATAATAATAATGGACTATTCCTGACATTATAAATACTGCTCCTCTCAAGAGGTATGAGGATGTTGTAAGACGAGGAGAGATAATTGAGATCATATTGTAAGGACATTGGAATAGTGATACTTGTCGAGACAACATAGTTCACTCTAATCAAATCTGATAGTCATTACTAATACTTCTACTTCTTTGTATTATATTTCTGTTGTAATATATCTTTGTATTTCATACCTGTGTTCGTGTTAGTCTTTCATTGGTTCTCACATTGGACTATCACCGTGGTACAAGGAACTTGGATCATAACACTATCTATCTATGCCAGTCTGTTCATAACTATGCGTATATCTATCTATTTCAGTCAGTTGATGTCTATCTATCTGACTCTGTTCATAACTATCTTAGTCTTTCCATATCTATCTATCTATCTATCTACCTATCTCAGGCAGTTCATATGTATCTCAGTCTCCTATTTCTTTGTTCATAACTATCTATCTTAGTCTGTTAATGTCTATCTCACTCTTTTTCATATCTGTTCATATCTATCTGTTAATATTTATCTATGCCATTCTCTTTATATCTATCTATGCCAGTCTGTTTATATCTATCTATCTATCTATCTATCTATCTATCTATCTATCTCTATCTATCTATCTATCTATCTGTTATGGGAAATTACCCATAACAGATAATGGACTATTCCTGACATTATAAATACTGATCCTCTCAAGAGGTATGAGGAGGTTGTAAGACGAGGAGAGATAATTGAGATCATATTGTAAGGACATTGGAATAGTGATACTTGTCGAGACAACATAGTTCACTCTAATCAAATCTGATAGTCATTACTAATACTTCTACTTCTTTGTATTATATTTCTGTTGTAATATATCTTTGTATTTCATACCTGTGTTCGTGTTAGTCTTTCATTGGTTCTCACATTGGACTATCACCGTGGTACAAGGAACTTGGATCATAACACTATCTATCTATGCCAGTCTGTTCATAACTATGCGTATATCTATCTATTTCAGTCAGTTGATGTCTATCTATCTGACTCTGTTCATAACTATCTTAGTCTTTCCATATCTATCTATCTATCTATCTACCTATCTCAGGCAGTTCATATGTATCTCAGTCTCCCTATTTCTTTGTTCATAACTATCTATCTTAGTCTGTTAATGTCTATCTCACTCTTTTCATATCTGTTCATATCTATCTGTTAATATTTATCTATGCCATTCTCTTTATATCTATCTATGCCAGTCTGTTTATATCTATCTATCTATCTATCTATCTATCTATCTATCTATCTATCTATCTATCTATCTATCTGTTATGGGAAATTACCCATAACAGATAATGGACTATTCCTGACATTATAAATACTGATCCTCTCAAGAGGTATGAGGAGGTTGTAAGACGAGGAGAGATAATTGAGATCATATTGTAAGGACATTGGAATAGTGATACTTGTCGAGACAACATAGTTCACTCTAATCAAATCTGATAGTCATTACTAATACTTCTACTTCTTTGTATTATATTTCTGTTGTAATATATCTTTGTATTTCATACCTGTGTTCGTGTTAGTCTTTCATTGGTTCTAACATTGGACTATCACCGTGGTACAAGGAACTTGAATCATAATACTATCTATCTATGCCAGTCTGTTCATAACTATGCATATATCTATCTATTTCAGTCAGTTAATATGTATCTATCTGACTCTGTTCATAACTATCTTAGTCTTTCCATATCTATCTATCTATCTATCTATCTATCTATCTATCTATCTATCTATCTATCTCAGTCAGTTCATATGTATCTCAGTCTCCCTATTTCTTTGTTCATAACTATCTATCTTAGTCTGTTAATGTCTATCTCACTCTTTTCATATCTGTCTGTTCATATCTATCTGTTAATATTTATCTATGCCATTCTCTTTATATCTATCTATGCCAGTCTGTTTATATCTATCTATCTATCTATCTATCTATCTATCTATCTATCTATCTATCTATCTGTTATGGGAAATTACCCATAA